GACCTGCCAAAATGGCAAAACACCAAATGAATGTAAAAATGAGCTAGTTATTAATATTAGGCATAGTAATCGGCAGGTTCTTGATTACAAGGCTAGACCAAGTTAATTACATGTAATGCCGAAATGATAATAATAATAACAATAATAATAATAATAATAATAATATTAATAATAATAATAATGATAATAATAATAATAATAATAATTATTATTATTATTATTATTATTATTATTATTATTATTATTACCTGTACATTATTCTGTAGGTTCTTCATTACAAGCCTTAGGCCAAGGTAATTAATGCTGAAATGATTATTATTATTATTATTATTATTATTATTATTATTATTATTATTATTATTATTATTAATTATTATTATTACCTGTAGCTTAAGGGGAACTTAGACAATGGAGGAATTAGAGAACAATTAAAAAACGACGTTAAGAGGAAATAACACAAAAGATATTTCCCCTTGGGCGATTATTATTTATAGGCCTAGATTGTACAGTATCTGTAGGTTCTTCATTACAAGGCTTAGGCCAAAGGTAATTAATGCTGAAATTATTATTATTATTATTATTATTATTATTATTATTATTATTATTATTATTATTATTATTATTATTATTATTATTTAACATTAGTTAAATTACAATGATAGTTTGGACAAGTTCAATAACGCCGGAATGGTATATTATTTATTTAATAATATTTCTCTTATGCGCTCTATTTTTCATTTCATGCTTCAATTTTGTCCCATTTTTCTCCCCAAAATTTCAGTCAATGTCAGTATGTGAAGCGTGACTGTTGTGTCAGCCTATGACCCTAGGCCTAGTTTAAGGAGGGGCCTAGGAAAGACCTCAGCCTGTAGTTAGGCCTATAGTTTATCCTCTTTCTCTCTAGCCTTTGGTATAACTGTACCTATCTACACTTTATAACAGGAGGTACTAGCTGTTGTTGTTGTAGATAATATACTAACATTTAATAACATCCAAGAAGGTCACAGTTAGTTACGCAGTGACGTACATCACATAAGTCCGTGAAATTTCATAGGCCTACCGTAGGTAAACATAGAAAGAGCAATAGTAATAATAGTAAAACTCGAGCGTCACGACATTGCGAAGTGTCTGCTCTTGTTCCTCGTATCGTACTCACTCGAGTCAATCCGAGATGGCCCGAGTGAACTTTCATGCAAATGTTTCGTACGGAAAAAAAATCGCACCCCGGTCCAAATAGGAACGCTACAAGAAACGGCTGAGGCTATCGGCACTGCCGCAGTGCGAAAAAAAGCTGCTGTTTTCTATCGGCACTGCCGCAGTGCCAAAAAGCTGCTGTTTTCTATCGGCACTGCCGCAGTGCCAAAAAAGCTGCTGTTTT